AAAAAAAAAAAAAGAAAGCAAGCCCTTCTCTAAGGAAGAAAAAAATCTCAACTGAGAAGACCTAAAGTAATTGATTAGTGGCAACTGAAGGTGGGCAAGTTGCAGGCAGAGGGAACTGCTTGTGGCGGGACTCCTAAGGAGACAGGGTTTTTTTGTTTTGTTTTGTTTTTTGCAGTTTTTGGCCCAGGGCCAGGTTTGAATGCACCATCTCCGGTATGTGGGGTGCAAGCGCCCTACTCCTTTGAGCCACTTGCCCTGCCCAGGAGAGAGATTTTGGCAATTTCAGGAAACACAAATTAGCTCAGAAATAACATGAAGTAGAGTAGGGAGACTAGATTCTTGAACTTTGAAGCTAGAGCCAGGTATTTTGTAAGAAAAGTAAGCTTTCTCCTTGGGTGACTGAAAAACATTTAGCAAGGGAGTGAACTGAGATTTATATCTAGCTTCCCTCACCCTCACCTTTTATTTATTTATTTATTTATTTATTGCAGTTGTCATTGCTGTTTTGGCTGGCCACGGTTGGGTTCAAACCCTCCAATTCTCGGTATATGGGGCTGGCGCCCTACCCACTGAGCACAGGCGCCACCCACCCCCACCTTTTAATTAGTGAAGTCAATCTCTTTCCAAAAAGAATCCAGATTTACACTCTCATGTTTATCCAACCATCAGAAAACTCTTCAGGAACAAAGCTGCTAGGTGGGGCACGATGGCAGTGGCTCACGCCTATAATCCCAGCACTCTGGGAGGCCGAGGTGGGTGGATTGCCAGAGCTCAGGAGTTCCAGAGCAGCCTGAGCTAGGCAAGATTTCGTCTCTAAAACTAGCTGGGCATTGTGGCTGGCATCTGTCGATCCAGGTACTCAGGAGGTTGAGGCAAGAGAATTGCTTAAGCCGGAGAGTTTGAAGTTGCTGTGAGCTGTGACACCAAGGCACTCTACCTAGGGCGACAAAGTGAGACTGTCTTCAAAAACAAAACAAAGTTGCTTGAGTTAGAAGAAAATGAGGAGCAA